TTTATTGTTCCTTTTGCTCATCATAGAGTCTAGTACAGAGTATGTTTGATGGGAAAAGAGATTAGGTGTAACACCAAGAACCTCCTTTCAAACTGACACAAATCCACTATTACTACCCTTTGAATAACGTGTAAATTCAATGGACTTCCCTCAGTGTTATCATCTTGACGATAAGGATATCAAGAGCGACCTTAGTTTTGTTGCCGCCCAAGTATGATATACCTATTACAACCTTATGATCCACTGGTCTTAGAACTTTTGTCAAAAAGGGAAATGAGGTAGTTAGAGATGCCTGACTCACAGAGAACATAGTGCCTGCTCACACCTGCAGATTGTCTAGTTGATCGTTTTATAAGTGCTTAAAATGTGGCCCTTTATTTTATTTATTTTTAAAAAAATTTTTTTCAGTGTTTTTATTTATTTCTAGGAGAGAGAGACAGCGTGAACAGGGGAGGGTCAGAGAGAGAGGGAGTCACAGACTGAAACAGGCTCCAGGCTCTGAGCTGGCAGTCAGCACAGAGCCCGACACGGGGCTCAAACCCATGAACCGCGAGATCGTGACCTAAGCGAAAGTCGGACGCTTAACCGACTAAGCCACCCAGGCGCCCCAAAATGTGGCCCTTTAAAGAGTCACACAGAAACATTCTGGGGATTGTATTTAAGAACACATGTTCCATCTGATTTTATATGTGAAAATGACATTTGTCTGTCTTCCATGTTTACTTAATGTTCTCTGGTCTTTCAGGCGTTTTCACTGTGATTTATTGAGCCTGGACACATGAACTCACTGTAGGGAGCTACATGCTCTTTTAAGATAGGTTGCAGAGGTCTTGATTTAGTTCTCCCTGAACTAAATTTTTTTAGTTTGAGTACCATTTTCTATCTTTTTAGTTTGAGTACCATTCATCTTTACTAAAAAGACAGAAATAAAAGAGACAGAAGATTTCTGTTTTTGTTTTTGTTTTTGGCATTCACAAACTCCTATTAATTCCAATGTAATCCTGATTAAATGTAAGTACAAAATATTTTTTATTAGCCTTAGCATTTTTTTGTAATAACTTTCATACTATAGTTTCATATAATTTTGCATACAGATTGGTGCCGCTTTTTAATTTTTCTTTGTTCCATGGCCTGTTTCTCCCATGTTTTATATGCACCTAAGTTATAGAGGAGCTTGGGAGGAAGCAGACTGGATAATTACATTGTTCTCTCCCTTTCTTCCCCATGGAGAAATCACAGAGGCAGAATTTCTTTTTGATGATTTCTCAGTCTCTTGAGCTATACACCCTTTAAGAATCTTTTGCTATGAAGATATATTGTTTTCTGTACCTCAATCTCACACTTTCTAAACTTGAACTACGTTCAACTTTTCTTTCCCTGATGATCATCTGGGGATACTTTTTACCTGGGCACCATTACTTTCATTTCACCAGCAAACTCCTCCTTGCTTGCAAGTCTTAGGTTCTGAGTTGAGATTTCTCTGGTCATTTCATCTCCTCTTTCAGAAATGAAATAGTGTATTTAGTCACAAATTAACCAAAATTGGTTTAGCTGAGACTCTTAGTAAATGTCTAAATATCTGAAACTATATCAGTACCCTTTCTGATTCTTTCCCATCAAATCTTTCCTATTGCTTCCTGTGAAAGTACATTTCCCATGCCATGCTACAATCTCAAGTGTACCTCCTTTGTAACCCAGCTTCGGTGTTGGTATGTAAAACATCTGAGACTGTGGGATTGTGAGAGTTGTTTAATGACCCATTTCTCAGTTATTATTTTAACTGAAGTGATTTGGCACTACACTCACAAGTGTCATTCTTGTTTCTATATAACTTAGATGTGAACTGTTTGCTTGCAAAAAGTAGGTACCTATTTGAACCAACTTAAACTAAAAATGGGCTGTTTAATGAAAGAACAGAGTCATATGTCATGAAATCTGAAACTGGGAGAAGAGCTGGGCTCCACAGGAAACTCATCCAACATCTGGACATTTGGAATTGATATTATCCTGTGCTTCCTTGATCTTAAGGTGAATTTGTACCATTCTCTGGCTTCAGAAGCCCACCAGTCTCTGCTTCAGCAAGCACAAGGCAGACAATGGTGATCTGATCTCCAGTGGACATGCCCCTCCAGATCAAGTGCTCATGCCCCAGCATTCAAACTTTTCTCTGAATTGTAGTGCCTTGGAATCCCATACGGCTTATTTTCTTTTGTGTCACAAGCTCACTCAGTCTAGTCATTTGGAGCTGGAGAGGAAAGGGTTGCATGATATATAGACTGGAGAAAATAGCTTTTCTAAGAAGCTCACATCTAGGCAGGGAGGGAGGGCACAGCAGACTTTATTTGGAATTTCAGTGTTAGGATTGCCATCTTCTACCCAAATTATTGCCATAGGTTTATTTATTTTCTCCACAATTACATTAAGTAGTTTCCAGCCAAATACAATCCTACATTTGTTTGTAAAGTACACTTCCATCTTAGACATGAGTCTTTACTTCCAGTATTTTAAACCATGGTTTAGAATTTAAATTACATTCATTGTTATTTCCCATATCCTACTCTTTCTCCCAAAGGGAATCAATGAAAACATCTCCTATTATCTCAAATGTTTCAGTTTCCTTCCTATGACATTATAATTCTGAAGATACTCCCCAGTGTTCCTATAGGAATCAGCATGACTGGGTAACAGGAATGGGCATATGCTTGAGAAAGATAGTAATACTAGTTTCTTTGGTCTGTTGTAGCTTCTTCTAGCACATCACAATCACGCTACACACAGCTGTAGCACGGCATGGTTAATGTACTTTCACAGCAAGCAATAGGAAGGATTTGATGGGAAAGGATAAGAAAGAGTACTGATATAGCTTCAAATATTTGGACAATTATTAAGAGTCTTATTCACCTAAAATAATTTTTGGTTAGTTTGTGGCTAAATACACTATTTCATTCCCAAAGAGGAGATGAAATGACTAGAGGAACTACCAATACCAAGACACATTCTTTCCTTCCAAGGTCAGTATTTAATATTCTTGATCTACCAAGTCAGTTCAATTCCTTTCCAGCATTTTTTTCTCCCTCGAGGAAGGTCTAGTCCCTTCTCTGTTCCCCTGCAGTAGGAAGCACATCCTTAATATGTATTGCCAATGGGCCAGCATCTTCTTTGTGTTCTCTCTGTCACAATCTTATACTCCTTAGTCTATGGATTCTGATTTTGATTCTCCTCTTCTTTAGATTCTTCTGTTGAGCTTGAGATAAAACCACTTTTCTAGAAGGACTAGATTTACCTTTTGGGGGAAGCTCATACCTATTTGGGTGTGTTTTTAGTCCAATAGAATTTCTTATTCAATTGACTTTTGCTTTCTCTTTTTTCTTTTTTCTTTTCATTAATTCCTATCTGTGCTGTTGGATTAAGGTCTGACCCTCTTCACCTTTAAAGTTAAGATCTTATACATTTTTTTAAAAGTAGGCTTCCTGCCCAGAGCAGAGCCCAAAGTGGGGCTTGAACAACCCTGAGATCAAGACCTGAGCTGAGATCAAGAGTCAGATGCTCAACTGACTGAGCCACGCAGGCACCCCAGGATCTTATACTTTTTAGTTTCTCTTTTAATCCCATTTTATTGGAATTATTTATGCTCAGATACTTTATGTGAGAATAAAACATATTTTCAAATCTCTTCATACATTCAAGAATGTAATTGAGCTAGCTAGCATTCAACATGCCTTTAGCTTATCTGTGCTTCTGACAGGAAGACAATCTTAGCTTCTTTGCTTTTCATCGACTAGTGCTATTATGTCCCATGAGTTTTGGTTGGTATTAAGACATCATATATATATATTTTATATATATATAATGTCATATATAAATATATATTTTATATATATATAATGTCATATATAAATATGTATTTTATATATATATATATAAATCCTATATTGCATCATATTCTTTTATTGTCTCTTGGAATATAAGTAAAGAGCATAGCCTTAGAGGTCAGATAGACCTCTAAAATATTGGGTAAGTTACTGAAGATTTGTAGGGCTCAGTTTCATTGTCAGTAAAATGGGGATAATAACAATTCCTACTACATAGCATTGTTATGAAGACCAAATAGGAAGATGTGGGTTGACTGTTTACTACATAGTAAATGCTCAATAAGGGCTGGCTTTAATTATTGTTGTGATTACTTTTGTTAAATTGTAATTTTCTTGAAATTGAGAATGATATTTCAAATTTTCTTAAGCAGCTACTACTTAATACAAGTTTATTGCCATTTATTTACATAATAGTCATATTTAGGGATAAGAACTCCCAAAATGAAACACACTGGAATTAAGACTGTTAGATTTGATTATGGCTTCTTTATATTACACTTATTTATCCCAATTTGGTGGGTTGTTTTACTTCTTTCTCCTAATCTGAGTTAACAATTTTTTTTGAAAAGTATTACTCATTCCTAAACTTTTCTTTTGTCTTTTCTAACTTGGGAGGGAGATTCATATTCAAATTCCACCAGTATTTTTAGGTGTCAACCCTGCAAGGCTTTGTTCTAGGTGCTTACACATATCTACACATTATGTCTATTTCATAAATGAGAAAATCAAGGCTTAGAGAGTTCAAGTGAATAGCCTAAGATCACATGACTGGTAAGGAGCAGCTGCAAGAATAATAAATAAGACTTAACCATAAACCAGTGAAAAGAACTCTAAAGGAATATGACTAAGTAGTATGAGGTACAGAGAGAGATTTTTTTTCTTCATCAAGGGATGAGTAGAAGAGTCAGGGAAGTCTTTGTGAAGGAGATGAAATTAATCTAGGAGATGTCCAGTCAATCCATGAAGAGTCAAGAAGATTTTTTAATTCCATTTCTTCAATTCTCACTTTGTTATGTATATAATAATTTATCTTTATGGCATATAATTGCAAAGTAGATACATTTTCACTAAATGGAAGACAAAATGGTGAACATGGTAGAAAAGCATTTTATTTGATGATTTGTGGACTATAAGTATACTCACAGGCTTTTAATACATAAAGAATGGATCTAAAGGAAGAAGACCTATTGTCAGTGTTGAAAATAACGGCACATATATCCTTTAACCAAGTTTAGTTACAATTCTCATAAAACAAAACCAATCCTTGAAATGCATGGTAAATATGCTGATTCTGGGTGCAAATGAATCCTCCATTTCTGAATGCTTGGTGTGGGCTCCGATTTAGGTCTCCAATACAGGTCCAGCGATTTTTGGTCCTTTTTTGGGAAACACACCATTTGACATGATCCTGGTAAGAACTGAAATAAGACTGTCCAGATATCTTAATTGCTTTGACATTGTAGACATGGTAAGGAAGGGAGCAGTTTGAAGGAAGCTCTTGCCTCTTTCGCTGCCAGGTTTCTGTTAGCAAATGCGTCTTCAACCGTTGAGCCATCCAGGCTGTAAAGATGTCTAGGGTTTACCGAGAGAAAGATAGTGAGGTTAATATTTATACTTAGATAAGTCCCTGAAAATATCCTCAGCAATGGAAATCATCATTCACCCCTGATATATGGATGTCACAAGCACAATAATAACAACATAATTGAGATAGTGGATGGGAGAACATTTTGTTAGTGCTAAAGTGTTATGCAAATAAAAGTTCTTATCACTAAAATGATATTGGTGTTTAAAAATGTCTTCTGTTCCACACAAACAAGAGAGCAAACTATGTTTTTGTCCTGAAAAGATCTTTGGACAGAATAAAGCTAGAGATGTAACCATGGGCCAGCTTCAAGGGATCTTTGCAAATCATGACAAAATGTTTGGATTTTCCTGAAATCAATGGGAGAATTATAAATGTTTTTTAAATGTTTATTTATTTTTGAGAGAGAGAGAGAAAGACAAGAGTGTGAGCAGAGGATGGGAAGAGAGAGAGGGAGACACAGACTCTGAAGCAGGCTCCAGGCTCTGAGCTGTCAGCACAGAGCCCGATGAAGGGATTGAACCCATGAACTGTGACTCACGACCTGAGCTGAAGTCAGATGCTCAACTGACTGAGCCACCCAGACGCCCCTCACTGGAAGAATTTTTAAAGAAATGTTAGTGGAGAATTAATAGAAACTGATTTTCTATCATAAATATCAGGTGGGAGGCAGCATGCAGGATGAACTGAGAAAGGTGTATTAGACTGGAGATAGGGTAAAATACCAGGTTGTCACAATAATTGTGACAGTAAACACAGGCATGGACTAAGGAGGTGGCAAAAAGTTTGGTAAGGAAAAGATAAATGTGAGTGTTACTGAGGACCTAGAACTGATTGAATTTGATGACTTGATACAGGGGTAAGGAAAAAGGAGGGATCTAGAGTCCCCAGTTGTCTCTGCAGAATATATGAAAAAGAGCAAATTTGTGGGAGATAATGATGAGTTTGGCACATTGAATTTGGTGTGGTTGTGCCACCCTCAGGAAGCAATGTCCCATCCACTGTTGAATGCAGATGGCTCTGTCAGTCCAGAGGTCTTGGGAATCATCTGAAAGCTTCCTGGAATTGCATAGAATGAGTATGTAGAATGAGATAAGGAAGAATAGAGGACCAGGTGGCAACACAGTCACCTAAGGAGTAGGCAGAGGAGGAAGACCTAGCTGAAGAGACTTAAGAGAAGTGGGAAGAAGACCAAGAGACTGTACACTTCCAAAAATCAGGGAGGGGGAATGTTTCAGGAAGAAAAGAGTTTTAACAGTGCCAAATTCTGCAGAGGCTATTTCTGTCCTGTTAATTTTTGAATCTCTAGTGCCTAACACGGGGCTTGGCAAGTGGTAGGCACTCAGTACATTTTATCTAGTACAAAAGGAAGGATGCAAGGAGGGAAGACAGTGGGGTCAACTAAGAGAGTCACTTGTAACTGGGGAGAGTTGGAGTGTCTATAGATAGAGATGCAACACTACAGTGAAGGAACATTGAGCAAGTGAAGGCCATGAAGAGTCTATAAAATTTTTTTTAATGTTTATTTTTGAGAGAGAGAGAGAGAGAGAGAGAGACAGAGTGTGAGCAGAGGAGGGGCAGAGAGAGAGGGACACATGAAATCTGAAGCAGGTGCCAGGCTCTGAGCCTTCAGCACAAAGCCTGACGTGGTGCTTGAACTCACGAACCATGAGATCATGACCTGAGTTGAAGTTGGATGCTTAACCAACTGAGCCACCCAGTTGCCCCTTGAAGAATCCTTTGGAAAGAAATTTGGAAGAAAAGAAAAAAGCAGAGATATAGGAGATCTAGAATTGAGGGAAGATTTTTAGAAATATTTGTGTGGTAAGAGGACAGTGCTTAAAGAGTGAGAAATTGAAGTAGAAGGGGAAGAACAGATAAAATGGTTGAATCAAAGTATTCTGAGACTTGGATAGGTTCCAATGCACAAGAAGTGCACTGCTTCTTTTGGGATGAGAGGAAACTCATGAAAAGGAATAAGAACAGATAAGATTGTTGAGGGGGTGTGTGTGTCATTTTTAGTCATTAAAAATATTTTTTTTAACTTATTTTTTGAGAAAGAGACAGAGAGAATGAGTAGAGGAGGGGCAGAAAGAGAGAGGGAGAGAGAATCCCAAGTAGGTTCCACACTGTCAGCATGGATCCTGATGTGAGGCTCGAACTCATGAACTGTGAGATCATGACCTGAGTCAAAACCAAGAGTCAGATGCTTAACTGACTGAGCCACCCAGGTGAACCTAGTCATTAAAAAAAAAGTTTATTTATTTATTTTGAGAGAGAGAGAGCGAGCCAGGGAGGGGAAGAAAGAGAGGGAGAGAGAAAGAATCCCAAGCAGGCTCCACACTATCACTGCAGAGCTTGATAGGTGCATGGTTTGTAGGATCCGTGAGATCATGACCTGAGCCGAAATTGAGTCAGATGCTCAACCAGCTGAGCCACCCCAGCACCCCTTTTTAGTCACTTTAAAAAACTGAAGTATAGCCGGCACACAATATTACAGTAGTTTCTGGTGTAAAACATGGTGATTCGACAACTCTATATGTTATGCTGTCCTGACCACAAGTGTAGCTATCATCTGTCACCATAGAACACTATTACAGTACCATTGACTGTGTTCCCTCTGCTGTACCTTTCATCCCGTGACCTATTTATTCCACAAACTGGAAGCCTGTACCTCCCACTCCTTTTCAACCATTTTGCCCATTCCCCCCATCCCCTGCTCTCTGGCAACCACCAGTATGTTCTGTGTATTTACGGGTCTGTTTCTGCTATGTTTGTTCAATTGTTTTGTTTTTAAGATTTCACATATGAGTGAAATCATATGGTTTTATCTTCCTCTGTCTGACTTATTTCACTTAGCATAATACCTTCTAGGTCCTTCCATGTTGTCACAAATGGTAAGCTCTCATTCTTTTTATGGCCAAGTAATATTCCATTGTGTATACATACCACATCTTCTTTATCTGTTCATCTATTGGTGAACACTTGGGTTGCTTCCATATCTTAGCTTCTGTAAATAATGTTGTAATAAACATAGGTCTGCATATATCTTTCTGAACTGGTGTTTTTGTTTTCTTTGGGTAAATGCTCCCAGTAATGGAATTATGGGATCCTATGATATTTCTATTTTTAATTTTTTGAGGAAACTTCATAGTGTTTTGGGGGTGTGTGTGCTTGAAGTGGTTTCTCTCTGGTGATCTCTGTTCTCTCTATGAAGGAAAGAGCAAGGCTGACAATGAGGAGGCAGGGTAATATAAAGGACTTGAGAGGAAAGGAGGCTTAAAAGAGGTATGTAGGGGATGGAAAAAAGAAGGAGACAACTTTGGTCCAGCAGAGGCTGGGGACTGCAAGTTTTCACCGACTCCTGGCTTGGATGGTTGTGAGATATTTCCATGGTTGGATCAGCAATCGTGCTATTCAAGCAGAGCAGGCGAATGTTTGAACTGATCTGACTTCCCTTTTCCCTTTCCTTCCTTTGTTCTCCCTTCTCTTCTACTTCTCTACCCCCAAATAATCAGAATATTTCCTCTGTACAATCCAAAGTGAGCCCAAGAGAAGAGTTATAAATTGTTTGATCATGGTCTTTCATACCGTCAAGAAAAGAATCAGACTTTGCAAAATGGAGGAATTTTTGGCCCCGGGCTGACTGAAGTGCGGTGAGGTGACGGTCAGGGATCTCTGATGAGCTGGACCTGGAGCACAGCTGGGGCATATGAACGAGCTCCTGGTGAAAGATGGCTGGGATGGAACAGCTATAAATGTTTGGGTTACAGACCAAGAGCTGGGAATCTGAGTTAAGAAACAGAAAGAACAATTGAGAATTAGGATACAGACAGAAACACTTGTTGATATTATAGATTTTGTTGTGACTTAGAAGCCAAACCAAAACCAAAACCAACAGTATTCCCTTCTTTAAGCCAGTAGCCTTCAAATCACTTTTGGCTAAAAATACTTGACACTGATTGAGCACTTCCTACGTTCTAGGCATTATTCTGAAAGTTTACATGGGTATACTCACTCAATCCTAATAGCAGTTGTATTATCAAGTAAATTCTTTTATTATCCTCATTGTATAGATAAATTAATAGAGAATTTATGTTGCATGTGCAGGGTTATAAAGCTTGTAATTGATGGAGTTGATATACAAACCTAGGCAGTCTGTCATTGGAGGCCATGTTTTTTTTTTCTCATTGATTATCCAGCGTAAAGAATGATCAGCTTATCAACATATACAGCTAATCTCTATGCTATCCAGCTCTATAAATGTTACAGGAACTCACTTGGTTAAACTAGGACTTGGGTGAGAGCCTCAGTAATCCTTGCCATAAGATGGAATTTGATGAAAAACATATTCTAAACCTCATATGTCTAGAGGTAAATCACTCTTTACCACAATTTAGCAGCCTCCTCAGTAAAAAGTGACTGCTAAAATAGTGTTCCTACTTCTCCTTCTCCCCCATCATAGTTTTCCAAATCCAAGTATTTTTGGCCATTTCAGCTAGGGATCTTAAAGGAAGATCATCTGACTTGGAGCTGTCAAGTTGGTGGCCTGCAGGCAACATGTAGTCTGTACATTTATTTATTTATGTATTTAGTTTATTTATTTTGAGAGAGAGAGAGAGAGAGAGTACATGTACTCGTGTGAGAGTGGAAGAGGGGTGGGGGGCGGGGAGAAGGTGGAGAGAGAATCCTAAGCAGGCTCCACACTGTCAGTATAGAGCATGATATGGGGCTTGATCCCACAAATCATGAGATCATAACCTGAGACAAAAATCAAGAGTCATATGTTCAACTGACTGAGCCACCCATGTGCCCCCACAATTATTTTTTTAAGTAAGATTGAAATCATATTCTCTTCCCAACTCTCACTTCCTCCCACCCCTAGATTTCTAGTTTCTCTTGGAAAATATGGAGATCTGTACCATGAAGTCTGCTTTTCTGCAGAGCCACATTGCAGAGCTGAGGCTTTTGAGGGGAGAATCAATATCCCAGTTTGTCACTGTCCCCACTGCCCATGCAGCATTGTTTGCCTATTTCACCCATTTTTGTTACCTGCCAGGCCACTCTAGACATTTGAAAATACTACCCCTGCTCAATTTCAAAGACTTCAGTGGTAGATCAGGAAACAAAGGTCTAGTAAGTGAATCTGCTCAAGGTCTCACCATGGCAACGCCCCTCTTAGACTCTAATAGAATCTAGGTATCAGAATTTTAATGAATAGAGAAATGAAGAAGTAATAAATTTATTCGTACATTTCCAAATCCCTTCTTTAACATTGCTATCTCTTTTTTAACCACACTCTAGTGTTACCTATTGCTTCATACTGGTTGTACTTAAAAGTGATGCAAATGCCAGTTTGTCCATGTCTCCTCCCTGTGGGTGGATAATCATAGCCTTCTTCAGGAGCTGGAGGAAATCGGGGAATAGAGTGAATCAGCCAGAATCCTTGCACTCTGTTCCACAGCAGAAAACCTACCAAAGATACAATGAATACAGATAATAAATTAGAAAAATGAAGCTCCGTTTAAAGATAGGGTTCAAAGCTGTAACATTTGAGCCATTTATACGTCAGGCTAATATTTTACTCTGTGAATAATCGCAAAGATCATGCTTGCTTTTCAAAGATTTCAAGACCAATTTGGACACACATCACATTGACCCATTACTGATAATAAACCACCGCAAAGGACAGCCAGGGCAGCCACCCCTTGAAGAGGTAAGAGGGATTCTGTGTTGAAATCACTAGGAGAATTTGTTTTGGCAGAATGCAAATTCGCTAAATTGGAATTTGACCTTGTTAAACTACACAGTCACCTGGTAAGCTTCAGATAATGAGTATCTTTACTGCTAAGCAGCTAAGCTGTTTTCAAAAGTCAGCTAAAAAAGAGTTGAAAGAGAAAGTATCAAGTGAAGAAATGTACTTTTGGTAATTTGTCTAAGAAACTGATGCTCACTTATGTGTAGAAGAGTAATCAATTCCACAAGCCCAAAAACAGAGGCACAGAGAATGGAAGAGAAGCCATGCCAAAATGACCCAGTTAATTGTGTTTAGTGAAAACCTCTAGAGCAAAATAACATGAAAACGGAAAGGAAGAAAATAGAAAGATTTTCATCATCTTGTGACATGGCAAAATGAATCCTCCTCAACCGGCATCTGTGACTATTTCTGTCTTTATAAATAAATTCAGGATAGTTTTGGTACATTGACTATAGACTTTCCAGTTTGCATATGACCATGCAAATATGAAATTATTCATGTTTACCTTATTGTTGGAGTGGAAACCAAATGCCTGTCAGTTATTTCTTTTGCAAAGAACACACTTGAAGAAAGCACACCATTGGTCTCTCATCCTCTGTGTCCAGATGGGAAGTGTCCAATGCTCTCTTGCCAAACAGAGCTAGATGACCTTCAGAGGCCCTTTGTTGCCCATATGAATGTGCTATTTGCCTGAAATCCTACCCTCCCGGTACTAGTGCCATAGTATGTTGGGGCACCTGTTGGCAAAGAGAACTCTTGCACTTGACATGGGGTCCCAATCCTTTTCTGGTCTTTTTCCCAAGCGCTTTTAGCAACTAACAAGGTGGAGGGGTTTGTTGGAGGAGAGTTTGGAGAATGTCATGTATTATAAAAATTACTGTGTTCCAAGCAAATAGGATCATCAGGAGGGCAACTTGGTTAAATCCAAAGCTTTCATTACTCATGATATTTGACAGCCATTACAAATCATGTTCTTAATCAGAGGTTGCAAAAGTGGCAGCCTATTGGCCAAATCTAGCCTGCAGATACATATTATTATTCTCCCAGAATTTAAAACTTTGAGTTCGCTGCCAACATTTCAAATCTGGGGTGATTTTCCACAAATACTGATTTTCAACATCTCCTGAAAAATGGCATCCCTCTAAGGCAATCTGAGTCCCACCTGCACCTTTTGACCAAGTATGCATCCTCCAGTTCTTCAGTTATCAGCCGGTTAGCCCCCTGGCTTGCTGACAGCCACTTGCCTGCCTCTGAAGCCATTTGAGTTTGGGAACTTCCTTTTTCTTACTTTTAAAGTGTATTTATTTATTTTGAGAGAGAGAGAGAGAGGAGCTTCTCCTGTCAGTGAGGAGCCTGATGGGAGGCTGGAACTCACGAACCGTGAGATCGTGATCTAAGCCAAAGCCGGATGCCTAAGTGACTGAGCCACCCAGGTGTCCTGAGTTTGGGACCTTCTGGAAAATATTTTTTGCCATGGGAAATTATTCATGATCTATTAAGTTGAAAAACAGTAGGCGATAGTCATTACAATAGTTTCATAAAAATGTTGTAAAATATATATTATAGAAAAAGTAGAAAGGATTAATGTGATTATCTAATGGGTATTAAAATTACAGATTTTTTGGTTTACTGGCATACTGAGTTTTTAAATAATAACATATACATAATTTATAAATAGAAAAATACCAAAAATTACTGTAATAAAAATTATTATATTAACTATGTATAACAAAAATTCCTGTAATGTAAAGAATATATTTAAAAGTACTTTTCAGAAATATTTACTTCAAAAGGAACTATACACTAAAAAGAGTGAATTTTACTCTATGGAAATTATACCTCGATGACCTTAACTGAAATGTGAACACACACACACACACACACACACACACACACACTCACGCACATATATAGACTGGTTGGTAGTCCCAGTAGAATTCTGGGATTTCTGCTATAAAGCATATATATCTTATATGTTAAGAAATAAAATGGAATTTATGAAAAGGCGATTTCCAAGTCAGATTACATAATTATAACCTGTGATATAGAAATCACAAATTCTGAGAGCTCAAAATAAGCCATTAGAAAGGAAAACTATTTTTTTAGGGTGGAAAAAAAGAATATTCAAGATAGGATGTTTAAGAGAATGTTGATTTCCAGTAGGAAAGACAAACGGAGAGTCTTTGTCATACCTTTAGTGTGTCCATATTTTCTGCTGTAATTCACAGATGTAGGAACTCCATCATTGTATATTAGGTAGGCTGTGCTGTTAGGCTGCAGGAGCACATTAGGGTTATAATGGTGTAAATCTTACACTCATAAATGCTCACAACATTTCTACCAGCTACGCAGCCTGCAACACAGAACTGTCATTACTACACATGAAAAGTCATCCCTTATCCTAATAGACAGCTTCCCCATCAGACTGAATTCTGTGACAGTCAAGGGAGGGAATAGGAAGTCCATTCTTAACCATGCATGGTTTCGTCTTTTGTGACAGGGGCCCTGTGCATTACGATGGGCGTGCAAAGGCACTATTTCTATTTCTATTGCTTGTTTTGGACCTGCGTTTCTCATTTGGCAACCCCTGTATAACAAAGGCGTACTTAAATATTTGTTGAGGAAATGAAGTTGGAGCAACCAGCCAAGGATTACACCTGGGTTTTTCCACTGATACGGGCACCACGGCAGAACTGGCTGTCAGGATCTGCTTTCCTCTGCCTACGTTGTGCTTCACAGCTTGGTCATAGTTTTGTGTTTAGTCAGGATTCCTCATTCTCTGTTCCCACTGCCTGCAGGGGAGGATTCCCCTTCAATTCACTTCTTAGTGTCACTTCACCTTTCTTCCCTGCTTAGAAAACAAGTAGTGAAATTGAAAAAAAAAGAAAAGAAGAAAAGAAAAAGTAGTGAAATTGAATGTGTGATATTGGATTGCCTTTCTGGTAAGGCAAAATATGAGTAAATTTTCTCAACAGTTGGTCAAATCTCTAAGTAAAAACGAAGCTATTATTCTGATGGTATCTCTTTTGTCATGTTTTGGAAGTCTGCTTGTATTTGTTCTGTGAGGTTCCATTTCGTTTGTGTCGCGATGCAATGATTTTTATTGAAGCCGATAATGTTGATATTAACAAAAATCTCAGGGACATAATTGAAAGCAAGGAAGTACCACCCATCTCCTTAAAAAAAGGCTCTTCTTTTTGTCTCAGGGGAAAAAAAAGCCAATAACAGAGTCACTCACAACTGCTTAATTATTTGATGTAATCTAAAACCTTTTTTTTTAATGCATCGTATAGTCTGTGTAGCATTCTTGGCTACTATATTTAGAAATATCCAGGGAAAGGAGCTGTTTCTTTAGCCTCATTTTCACAACTGACTATAGCTATTGTTGGCATTCATATTCTCTGCTGGAAGACTCTGACAGTTGTTCAATGAGCTGGTGTTGAATGTGGTCATGAGGCCATTGTGTGCCTTTGGTGTGTAATGCAAAGGGACTCTGGGAAGAATCTTTGAGAATCTTTATTCTGATAATAGATGAAGTTTATTATTCTAACCAGGAGTGTAACAGCTAGCTAAGGTTAAGTGGGAAACAGCCCTAGTGAAGAGAGGCTCTCTGATAAAGAGGAGAGACCATGGACTTAAAAATAGGGAGGCCTAGGCATATGCCTCTGGACAGCTTTATTTCTAGAGCACATAAGCTGGGTATTATTTTGACTATGGGATGTTGAACAAGGCTAGTACAATCTCTGCCCCTATCCAGCAAGTACGGGCGACTACAATATAGTTTGATAAGCATTATTATGAGGGTGTATGGAAGGTTCTTACTGACAAAGGCAAAAGAAGGGAAACAATTCCAAAGGTAACCCAGGTATTGGCTTAGGTCATCTTGACATTTGACATTTAAAGCCAGTTCACATGATCTTGCATTCTGCTTTCTGTTAGAATCCCTAACAGAGGGAGGTGGGGGAGCTAGGTTCTCACTGTCGCTGCTGGCACGTAGTCCCAGCTTCCAAAGAACTCCCCATCTCACTTGGATGTCCGTCACCCACTATTGTTGCTCTTCTTCTATTGGCTCTATGCCAGTCAGACACGGACACCAGCCCCTCCCCTGTCATTTTCTTCCCAGAATCCCATACTGAAGGCCTTGAAGGTGATCAGGTTTTACTGAAGGCACAAAACATTGAATAGTTTTCCATCACCACATGGGCTTGCCCCTAGTCTCCCTCTGGGTTTCTTATATTTTTTAAATCCTAGCTTTCATCCATTTGTTTTTATTTTGCAGAGCAGTTTAGCTCTCTTGCCCGCTTAGGCTCTAGGGCTACGTTTGTGCCTCCAAAGATGGTTATTATATTCTGCCAAAGTAAGATCCGTCTGTCCCAACTCAGGTAAATGACAGAAGATCTACAATGTTGCTCTTTCTTTCTCTCCCCAGGGGAGAAGGTGGGTCAGGGAACAATGGACGTGTTTATTTTCTCACTAATGGGTTTGCTCCCAGCCTCCAGCCCCAAACTTGGGAAACAGAAGCAGCTGCAGGCAGTTTGGACTTTACATAATAATCTATTAATTGACAGCAGGGTTGCTGCTGGGATTAAATACATTTTAAAAGCGACTAGAAATGTGTTTGATACATCACATGCACTCAAACACCTTTCAAATAAGTTTTTACTTTGTAATTTGGCCCTGAAGGCTGGTCTTAATGGCAGATGAATAAATAAGTGAATATTAGCCTGCACAGTGACAGCTCTCTGTGCATTTTGAGTAAATATGTGGATATGCACGTGCCATAGTTCCAGGATCTAACACATTATTGCTGGGATTCACCTAATTGACATATGTAAAGGCCCAGCATACTGTAAGTTCTGACTCGTTTTACACATTTACCTCTCTCTAAGTGATTGCTAGGAATGCATATATGTATGTAACTGTATATTACTGTTTGATTTTCCTTGTCACCCCTGGTTGGGAAGCAGTATCTTGTCACTGAACAGCAGATGGTGCCTGGGACATTGGGAGACTGCCCACATTGAGCCAGTAGGCCTACTTACCTATGCCTCTTTGGCCGGTTAGCTCATTGCCTGATCAAGTCCAGATAGCAGGTTTCATCTCCATTCAGGCAAGTGAGTTCTAGGGCATCGAACTATAGCCCTAGCTCTCAACCTACTACTTGGAAAATTATAAGTTAAAAAGAAGACCAAGTGGAACCCTTTTGGCCACCACCACTCATCACAACCATGGCATAAGAAACCCATACTGTGTGGCGTATTAATCGCTGATCTGTATTGCATTCTAACAGGAGAGAGCTTCTCGTTATTTCTATTAGAGGTATAAGATAGCAAGTACTGAGTGAATTGGCAGAGATTGGCAGCCAGAAGCTTCCATACATAATTAGTTCACACCTTACCCAGTGGTACTATGGGATACAGTGCCCAATGTGCCCATAATTTGCCATTGCTTTAGAGTCTGATGACATATTCCTTAAGGTCTAAGATTGATTCAGATTGTGGGCTAGCTTACTTCAAGTTGCTAGGATTAGGGGTTAGGTAGTTCCAAAGTTAAAATCATTTGGAAGCCTTAGATTCTGTTTATGCATTTTATATGATTCAGATGAATGATAAGCTAGAGCATACCTTGGAGGCATATGCTTCATATAGCTGTTGTAATGTCCTTCCCAACACGCTGTTAGTGGCATTCATCAGTTGCTTACGCCTCCTCCAGCTTCTGGTTGTAGAGTCTAGGTATAGGTACTCTAACCCCGTCTGTCTGCTTTCCTTGTCTTGCCTTTTAGGTAACTTATAAAAGGCAAACCTAACAAAGGAAATAATTATGAATTACTAACATTTATCGATGGCTTCTCTGGTGGCAGCCACTGTAGTAAGCAACTAAATATACCATTTTACTTACGTTCCCTAAGTCTAAGGAAAAGGATATGCTCAGGATTTCTGTCTCTTTTCTCACCCTTAGCTTTGCTCCTTCCCAGAGAAGGAATGGGACTGTGACTGGACGTGTCTTAAGACATTAACTGGCCTGGAGGGTGGGTCCCTGTTGCCGAAGCCCATGTACGTTCACGCAGTGGTTCACACAGTGTGTAGGGCTGCACTGGGGAGAGAACAAAGCCCAGGCCTGGACGGGAACGCCTTGGATGTGTTTTTTCTCTTCTGCCTCAAGTGCTCAGCAGGCTCTTCTCTTTGTAGCTGGCTGGCTGGGTCCGAGGCCCAAGTTTGGCTTTCAGAGTAGTCAGAGGCTCCCTTGAGTCTCTGGCCTAGGCCACGTTCTTAAGCTTGAGTTCTTCAGACTGTTGTGCATTGAGGATTCAGGGCCAAGACCAGCTCATTAAGCATTTTGCTTTCCTTGGGTATCTCACAGGGAGGGGAGGCGACTGGGCCGGAAGGCAGGGAGGCACTCTTGGATCATGTAGCCCCGGGCTTCTCTGTGTGCTATTCACATTTCAGGCCAGGTCATTCTTTGCTGTGGAGGGCTGTTCCGTGCATTGCAGCATCCCTGGCCTCTACCTATCAGATGACAGTAGTACTCCTCAGCTGTGCCAGTAAAACTGTTTCCAGACAATGTTGAAAGTCCCCCAAGGACAAAACCACCTGAGTCTTGCCAGATACTCCCTAATAGCAAAAATCCCACAGTGAACCATCAAATGCCCACCGGGAGCCAAACATTCCAAGGCATTCACCATGACCACACAACAAGGTCTCACACCGCCCGTAAACGCTTCATGCTCTTCACTTGGTTCTATTCAGTCTTCTGCTTCTATTTACATGAGCGCTTTCCTGCCCTGTGCATGCGTTCTTACTCTCAGAACAGGGTCCTCACAAGGGGCAGGAAACATGAAATTATTCTTTGGTGCTGACCTGATGTTGCTCTGTCCTTTTACTGTCACGGTGAGTTGTAGCAGCTTGACACTGTGCCTCCCTGTCTGCTCAGCTCAGCATTCTCACTGGCCAGTATTGCTAAGTAATGTGTCCATTCAGTTGCAGCAAAAATAAATGTTATGTATTGATCGCAATTTGATGGCTCACCAGTGAAGGGTTTGAGAACTATGAGGGTCATGGCATATCAGTTGAAAACTAGTGCTTTTAAACATTTTTCTTGAGTAACCATTTCCAATTATATTCTGAAGATTTCCTCAATCTGTTTGTAGCCCACACCTCTATGCTGAGGTCCAGATAAGCCTAAACGCAGAGATATCCCAGAGACTTCCAAATCCGTATTTTTGAAACCAAGTTAATAACATTTCGCTCCAACTCTGCTCTTCTCCTGCAAACAGGGAACACATCCATGCAGTCAGAGAAGCCAGCAATCTGAGTCTTAACTTCTCCCTCTCTCTTGCGACCCTCAGCCCATCTGTTACCAAGTTTTCTGAGAGCGTTTCTTCCTTTCTATTTCTACTACTGCTTCTTTAAACTCGGGTACACACATCAGCTCATCTGTAATGCTGCAAAAGTCCTGTTGGTCTCCATGACTCTAGACTGGTCTCATGCAGCTAGCCTTCACTGTACCACCAGTGAGCTTTCTAAAATACGAATCTGACCACATCACATCCCTGATGGAAGATCTTTAGTAGCTCCCTTTGACGGTCAAGTTCAGACTTTGCAGCCCAACACACAAAGCGCTTCGTGACCTACCCCTCACCTCTTGCTGAGCTTACCTCCTGATGTCTCCCCCTGTTCTCCCGAAGCACCAGCAACACTGTTCTTGAAACTTCTCCATTGCTTTTTGCCTCTGTACCTCCTCATGGCTCCCTCATTGGCTTGAGATGCCCATGCATCTCCCTTGTTTTTCTAACCAGCTCATGGGGGGCCTGGGTGGCTCAGTTGGTTAAGCATCCCACCTAGGCTTAGATCATGATCTCACCTTTTGTGGGTCTGAGCCCCACATTGAGCCCTCTGCTGTCAGCGCAGAGCCTGCTTGGGATCCTCTGTCCCTCTCACTCTGCTTCCCCCTGCTCTCTCTCTCAAAAATAAACAAACATTAAAAAAAAAAAAATCTAACCAGCTCTTAATTGTTCTTAAAACTTAGCTCAAAGCTAGTTTGGGAGCTCTATGCTCCCTAGCGGCCCCATTTATGCCCTCACCACATAATTGAGCTTCTTGAGGGCAAGCGCTATGTTTCATTCATATTTGTATTTTCAAACCTCAGCATGGGGCCTGGCATGAGCTCAGTAACTGCTGAGAGACTGAGTGTGTCTGTGTTCTCAAGCCCGAAGTTTACACAAAGCTTGACGCCAGCCATAATGCTAAAACCTCAACACCCTAATTAAAGAGTAAAAAAGTGATCAAAGCTTTAGAAGAATCCATAACTATAATGCAACGCTGTGTTGAGTCTCGTCAACACCGTGAAGGAGGCCAGGGACCTACCTACCACCCACTCCTATGCTGCCTGTGCTGCTGTAATAAACATAGTTAACCAAACAGTGCTGAGTTCAATCACACCCTCTTTCTCATTCTCGGAAGGGGAAGCACAAAGTCCTGTGTCAGAAAAAGAGCAATCCGCCTTCTCTCCTTTGCCAGTCTCTGAAAGGTTGTTGGAAGGGTCCCATAAGGAAAGGCGCAATGCAATTAAAGGAGCCTGTCAACTGAGGGAAACTGTCCGTTCTCCCCCACCTCTGGGGCCACCAGGCTTGCATCACTGGGAGCCGTGAATCAGGCTCACCAGGCACTGCTGGGTGCTTTTTCAGGTGGAAGCCCCTTCACTCAGGAGCTGTCTGGATATTTGGTGCCCTCATACACTTTAATGTCCTTTCTTTTTAGAAGGGAGAGGTAGGGTGGAAGACTCTTTGGGAACTTTACAGTGAGCCAGTTTGCCTCATATACCCTGGCTTTCTATTTGCACACATGACTCCTTCCATCTCATTTACCTACCAATCCACAGCTTCGCCTTCCTCATTCCTGCACGATATTGTTGTTGCCTCCAGGACCCCAAAGAGGCTGCAGAAGAAGAACAAAGCAAAGGCTGTTCTTAGAAATCTGGCTGTCATTTTTTTATCTGCCACCTTTAGTCCATGCCACAGCAGGAGACTTGTCCCTGGGACCGAGGAGTCTGAGTTTCAGGTCTCTCTCAGGCTGTGCTGGCTCTGACGCTGGTTTCCGTGAGCCTCTGCTGTTCGCTGTTCGGGCATTTTCAGAATGGGGTGAACCTCATATAGTCGTGTGATTCTGTCACAACATGCCAGCGTGACTCCGGAGGCCTTTGTGCTGAATTGTTGACTAGTTTGCAAAGTCATCAAAAGTCCCAGAGAGAAAAAAGGGATATATAGTTAACTCTTCCAAGGGAACATCATGTCCTACGAAGTTCGGTGGGCAGGGAAACTCCATGTTGATAAGTAGATGTCGAATTAGATGTGTTTCATGTTTTTCCCTCACGATTGGCCTCTGTGTGAGTGAAAGCAAATGCTTGTAGTTCACACATTAAGCAGAAATGACAAAACCTTATGTCTTAGCAAAAATTAGGATCTATCACTTCTAATATTCTCAATCTTAAGTAAACATTTCCTAAAGTGTACTTCAAAGAGTTGCCTTAAAGTAAGAGCAATTTAATTGTATTCTACCAAAGATGTTTACATATTGTCTCCACCTCTGGTTTTAGCCATTCAACTTGGTGCTCTGCTTTTGAGACGACTGGTGTCCAATCGGTCGCAATGCCATAGGGTAAACATATTGATCGTTCACCCTCCAGGTCAAATAAAAAATGTTACAAATATCTGTTTTGCCAAAACAACTCTTTCTCACTCTTGAAACTGAATTTGAAGTTGAAAGCCAAGAGAAAATGGCCTATTACCACAAAGACTATGAAAAGGTGAGACCATTCTCTTTTTAGAGGAGGGAAGGGAGTAGACAGGCATATGAAAAGAATTTCCTTAAGTGTATGATGCTTTTGACTCCCTTATTAAAGATGCTGTCATAATAAATAGCACTTGACCAGAGGGATAGCTCTGATCTATCCCTCTGATTATAGATCCAGACCAGTCATTTAGGGACCCACATCAAACTGGCATCTTGCAAATCAGATCACTTCTATTTATGGTTGAACTAGCGTTGTTCAGGATTCAAGGTTCGTAGGAAAGGGAGGGTTAGAGGCTGTATTTCTCCTAAGTAGAGTTTTGTTTGGGGTGTCTGGACCACGTACCCACATTTTTTGTGTGGTGTTTGCAAAAGGGCAGAATTCTGGGCCTTAGCTCAAACCTGCTAACTCAGAATTCTCCCATTTGGGCTTAGGAATCTACGTGTTTTGTAAAGTTTGAGGTTATGTTAGCGCACTCTAAACTTTGAGGCTCACTGCCCAGAGCCAAGGCTTTACCTTATCTGACAGCTTTGCAACCAATCAAATTGGTAAATTAAAAAAAAAAAAACAACAACATTTTTTTCTGATCATTTCTGCATGAGTATCATTTTGTTTTACATATGTTTTTATTGCATTCAGAAAAAAAGATTTCAGCAACTGCAAACTTGTCATCAAGTTTTAAAAAATTTCATAGCATGAAGTTTATTTTTCTAAGTTAAAATGCAATAAAATTAATTTTATCTTGTGATAGTTTTTGGTATTGCAATGGTAATAACTGAGTACACTAGGCTTAGGATTTATGGATGCATTTAGAGAATATAAGCAACTTGTTTTCAGTTATGAAGACTAAAGAACATTGATTGAATAGGATATAAAGTAATTCCTATTTTCTCCTCATTATATGCTAAACACAGTGCCTTGCCAAAAGTAAATGATCCACAAATAATAACTGAGATTATTTTTACTATAACCTGAGCCCTTCCTGTGGTCGGCGGACATCTGTATTAGGATGCTATTTGGTAAATTCAATTTTATTTCGAAGTCTGGAAAAATGCAGTTAGGTTACTTTCTTTCAGATATAACTAAGCTTCCTTCTCATCTCTCATTGTTGCTGACCCAGTCATGCTGATTGTCAGTCAACAAGGTTTATTATGCAATTACTAGGTATCAAACACTGTACTGAGGGGCTCCAGGGATTTCAACAGTACCCTAAAGCCTAGATTCCAGTGGGTCCTGATTTTTACTAAAAACAGCAAAGTAATGTTATGGAAAGAAACTGAACTTGGTAGATGGATAAAATGCAAGCTGGATAGAATGGTTGTCCCATTACCCATTTTTGAAGTCCACGTAGTATAAGATTACAAACATACCATGTATACTTTCACAGCATGATTACCCCTAAAACTAATAGAAAATCCCTTCATTATAAATTGACCCAGTGTAGTGAACAAGGTAGAGTTCTTTACTTGGTAATGGGGTTCTTATTTTATAGTTGAAGGTTTGCGTTCATTCACCTAGTAATTCTGGAAAAATCTCAGTCCCGATCTGTTTGATAATGTGCCTCTTCCGCATTCTCTCTGTCATATTATCCTAGTACATTTTAGGTCTCTTTCATATATTCCATGTCTCCATTAATCCTGATTTTTTATTTGGATCTATCTATCTTTCAGTTCTCAAGTTCTCTCTTAGGCAACATTAATCTAGCTCTTTCAAATATCTAATCATTTCTTCAGTTGTGTTAAGTCTGTTTCTTAATGCACTTATTAATGCATTAAGAGGTTCTATTGGGTTTTTTTTTCTTCAGTTGTACTTAGTCTTTTTTGTGGTCTCTTGTTTTTTGCTCAAGAGAAGGTAGACCCTACCTCAAGAAGGAGATACACTCAGGGGTGTCTGGGTGGCTCAGGTGGTTGTCTGGCTCTTGGTTTCAGCTCAGTCATGATCCCACGGTCTGTGAGTTCCAGACCTATATCAGACTCTGTGCTGACAGCATGGAGCCTGCTTGGGATTCTCTCCCTCTCTCTTCCTCTCTGCTCCTCCCCTGCTCGTGTTCTCTTTCTCTTGAAAGAAATAAATAAACTTAATAAAAAGAAGGAGATATGCTCAGTCCTTTCTTTTGTTTCTGTAAAAATATTAAATATATTATTTTATATTTTGTGTTTGGTAATTCCAATATCTAAAGCCTTTGAAGGTCATACTTTACTGTCTGTTATTTCTGCAGCTCTCTCTCATGACATCTTGCCATACCTCGTGTACTTTTTTTATTTTTGGCTGTGAATTCGTTTTCTTTGAAGCTTTATCTGTAAGAGCTTTCTGAGATTGAGATAAAGTTGGATTTTTCCACACCCTAGTCTATGCTGGCTTCATCAAAGTTTAGTTATCTTGTGAGGACTTCTGGAAGTCAGGCTGTTGGCTTTATTTAGTTATTTTCAAAAGCTTTTCAAGGTGTGATTTACATGCCAGAGAGTCTATCTGTTTAACTTAATGCTCAAACTTTTACAAGACTGTTGATGCACTGTGTAAAATCTAGAATGTGAAAAACTGAAGGAAAAAAATTGATACTCTTGTGGCAAGAGGAAGGGGAGGGGACTTGAATTATTTTGATGAAACTCGATGAGACCAACAGGACTTAGGCATTTGTAAAACAAAGAATTGTTCATGAAAAACGTTGTTAAAGGAAGCTAGAAGTAGAATTAAAAGAATACGGTCAGAAACTTTTATTTTATTAATTCCTACTCATCATCCATAGCTCTATGGATGCCAACCTCTCATGGAAACTTATCTTTGATCTCTCTCAATCTGGTTGAGGTATCCCAGAGTTTGCTGTATTTTTTCAATTAGAGTAATTATCACAATGTGTTCTAATTACTTAGCTACTTTTCTTTTCTTTTTAAAAAATTTTATGTCTTTATTCTATTTTGAGAAAGAGAGATAGTGAGTGAGGGAGGGGCAGAGAGAGAGGGAGACACAGAATCTGAAGCAGGCTCCAGGCTCTGAGCTGTCAGCACAGAGCCCGATGCGGGGCTTGAACCCACAGACGATGAGATCATGACCTGAGCTAAAGTCGAATGCTCAACTGACTAAGACACCCAGGTGCCTCACTTGGCTACTTTTCTAAGTCTTCCTCTCAAGAGCAAGGGTTAGCAAACTGCTATCAGCCAAATCTGGCCCATTGCCTGTTTCTAGAAAGTTTTATTGGAACATGGTGACACCCATTCACTGATGTATGATGTATAAATATTTCTGCTATAATGGCAGAGCTGAGCAGTTGCAACAGAGATCATATGGCCCACAAAGCCTAAAATACCAACTTTTAGATTCTTTATTGAAAAACTTTGTTCTAGTGTATAATCCCTATCAGGGCAAAAACAATGCCAGACTGGTTTGCTATTGTATCTCTAGCACTTACCATGGTGCCTATCACCTAGAAGGTGCTGAATAAATACAGAGGAATGAATGGATTGAATGAAAAAGATTTCAGAGATTTCTATTTGGGGTTCTGTGGAATTTAGAATGAATTAAATGTAATCAGACTAATAAAAATGAGTATGTAGGTAAAATCTCATTTTAAAGAACGTTATTATAATGTTTCGTCAAGGAGGCAGCTGGATATAGTGAAAATAATCTGGCAGACCTGGGTTCCATGCCTGGCCCTACCTCTTAAACGCCACATAGTTATGACCAAACTACTGAATCTCAACAGTATCAATTTCCTTTTCTAAAGGTGAGGCTCACAATCTATACTTTCATAGCGTACTTTCAGGATTCAGTGAGATGCTATGTGCACAACCTCTGGCACATGATTAATGCTTATTAAATGCTCGTTATTCCCACCTTGTTTCCTTTTCTTCTGTGACAAGTTATTTCTTTTCTTTGCAGACGGACTAAAAACGGTCCTTCGGCTATGTGGTTTTAATGACCACAAATAAACCTATATCGCTCATGTTTGTGTAATCCTTTCCCAGACAAAAGTCAGTGTTTGACTCAAAGGTAGTGTCTTGTTATTGAAGAAACAAAGCTGAATTTTTATTCTGCCCCAAAGGGCAGTCAGCCTTTCATTCTTCCCGCACTTTCCAATGCAAACAGCCTTGCCGTACCAACGGAGTCGTCTCAGCTGAGTATTCCCCTGCAATCTTAACAAATGACTGAAGTTCTTGAAAAAGTGATGTTTGGGGCAGAGTGTACCTCTGGTTATTGGGTAAGTTCAGCCTGGTACAGAGTAAGCAGAATAAGGCTCTTCAGTCTCAGAAGGGCTCTTTCTACTGTACCAGCGTGACTGTTAGCTGTGTAACTTTGGGCAGCTCACTTAGCATCCCTGACTTAGTTTTAAGATAGGGATTCTTCCTCTTAAATGGCAAGTTTTGTGTGTGTGTGGGCGGGGGGGGGGGGGCGGCGTAGATAAGATAATGTAGCTTCCAGTGAGTGGAATTTTAAAAATGGCATAAAAATTCAAGTTTCTGCAATAACATGGCCATTTCCCTCCTTCCATTGGGATCAGAATGTTACCTTTCTTTCTCTAAAGAGTGGGCTAACCATCAAGGTGGTATAGGGATGCTGCCTGTAGTGGGAAAGAGCATGTCATTTGGAGACAAATGGACAGGGCTCTTGCCTCCTGCCTCTGTCACCTAGTAACTGTGTGACCTCAGCAGGATACCTAACCCTTGTATCTCCCATGGTCAAACTTGGATCAAAATGCCCACTTCACAGAGTTCTTTTTTTTTTTTTTTTTTTATATTTTATTTATTTCTAGGAGAGAGAGAGAGAGAGAGACAGTGTGAGCAGGGGAGGGTCAGAGAGAGAGGGAGTCACAGACTCCGAAACAGGCTCCAGGCTCCGAGCTGGCAGTCAGCACAGAGCCCGACGCGGGGCTCGAACCCACGAACCGCGAGATCATGACCTAAGCGAAAGTCAGACGCTCAACCGACTAAGCCACCCAGGCGCCCCCACAGAGTTCTTATAAAGGACTAGAGGGAATCATATATGCTAAGTTCCTGACATATATGAAACCCTCACTAAAT